TATTATTATTATTATTAATTATTATTATTATTATTATTATTGTAGGAACATTTAACTAAAATTAATCTTTTATTCTAAAACTAAGTTAAGGTATTGTAATTAAATAATTGACAAAGTATTTGTGGAACAGTACAGATCGCTGGCATTATCATCAACAGCACAGTACTCCCCAGCATTTCATGCAGCATCCGATTACGATAAACAACAATATCGAATATTGTGTGAGCGATTATTGGGTTTAAATCCAGCCCAAATTAGCATTTGTCAACAGGTAAATTGTGAATTTTTTGCAGATACACTACTAAATGACATTTAATCTAAAACAATACAGCAATTAAGTTTGCATCTTTAAAAATAATGATAAACTAATTTTAAAATAATCTTGAAAAGTTTTACTAATCAGAATTCTAATTTTTAATTCAAATTGTTGAGTGTATTCTTTTACAAAATGGATTATTATGGCTCAAGTTTCATTTCCCATTGATTTGTTCTAACGTTGGAATTCATCATTGATCCATCAAAATGACAAATAGTAGAACAATACTACCAATTATATTCCTTTGATATTAGATTACCTAATTTTTTCATTCTACTACATTATACAACAAGTTCGATATTATTTTCTACTAATGCAACTAAAATTGTTTGGACGACAGTTTTTTTTTTTTGTTTATTTGCAACCTTCTTTATATTAATTAGTACTAATTAATAAAATATAATTACAAGTAGAAATTTAAGCTTTATTTATTAAAATTGTTTTTAAATTTGAAGCAATTTAGAACTTCGTTGTTCAAATATTTGTAAGGTTTTTTGGTCAACCATATGGATGCCATTTGCAATTTGAATTTCTTTAAGAATACAAAAAATCGTGTTGCATTAGTTTTTAGAAGATTCTATGAATTGATAAACTGGAAAAGTATCTTTCTTTGATAAACAAACTAAATTATGGATTTTCAACTTTTTTTTTCTTTCTTTTTATAGCATCCGTTTGCAATTCCATCTATTGGACGTGGTGCGAGAGATTCAGTTGTTGAATGTCAAGCACAATTCAAATTTGAAAGGTTGCATTTTTGCTTTTAAAAAAAAAGGAAGAAAGAAGCACGAATAATAACTAATAACATCAGATTCTTTCTTAACTTTTATCCTTCATTTACGTGAAATACGTCATTGGTTAATTTACAAGTTGCTTATATTCGTTTTTCTTTCAATCAAATTATTAGATATTTTGTGATTTTGATAAATAAAAATCAAGAATGCGGGTGATCGTATGCGTAAATATGAAACAAAACTTCTAAATTAAGCATTCATTTCATTAACCTTAATCATCTTAACGAATTTATGAAATTTCAATTCGATAAGACACATAGTTACAATGAAAAGGATTGTTGTACTTGCAAGTGAAATTGTAAATTACATATTTGAAATTATTTAATATCATGGAAATTTCAATTTCGATAAACAAAAATAATGCAATAAATTAAATGTTAAATTTTTCAGATGGAATTGTTCGGAAAGGATAAGTAAGCATTCAAACGTAACAACAAATGGTTTTCAAGATTTGCTTGGACAAACACTTCGAGCTGGTATATACGTTGAGAAATGAATTTTATATGAATTAAAACAAATACACAAATTTTCATTTAACAGCAAATTTCAAATTATTTTACTTTCAATAATTTTCTTTTTTCTTTGAAAAATAAATTTTAATTTTAAAAATGTTTTTGTTTTCGTATGACAGGAAATAGAGAGACGGCATTTATCTCAGCCGTTGCAAGCGCTGGTATTGTGCATGCTATTACAAAGGATGCAGTGCTGGTAATTTAACAGAATGTGGTTGTGACAGTCAACCAGGTGGACAACGATATACAGATTTGGTTCATTTTCTTTTTTTTCGAAATTTTGAACTTTAGAATATTTTAAATAATTGAATGCACTAAAAACAATGATGTTATGCAACTAGTTACTGTAGAAAATGAAATGGGGAAAAAAAATCGGCACTAAAAGATTTAATACCTTTTTAGTATTGATTTTAGAAGTGACAAATTTCACTTTATATTACAATATCAATTGGTATATTGTAGGAATCATAGATTTTCTTCGTCCTTATTGTCTTTTTTTTTTTTTTTTAGCATATAATTTTTCTAGCATATAATTTTTGTTAGCATATAATTTTTTAGCATACACATGAAATCATTCAAGTTACGCAGTTAAAACTGAGCTATTTCAATTGAATTGAAATACAAGTATCATAATTCATTATTGCTGTCAAATGAATATATCGATTTGTTTGAAATTTCATTAATATTAATTTAAGGGGAAAATGTAATTTAACAAACAGAAGTGAAGTAATTTTTTTTTTTGATTTTAAGGAATGATTTTTTATTTTAATAACGTTTAATTGTTGAATATATGATAATGTAATAGGATCATGCGAGTACAATAGGACGAGAAAAATTTTCATGGGGTGGTTGTTCGGATAATTCCAAATATGGTGTTCATTTTGCTAAACAATTCCTGGATCGTTTTGAACGAGAGCAATATGAGAAAGATCGTGATATAAGACATCTGATGAATCTTCATAACAATTTTGTTGGTCGTGAGGTATGGTATATATAACATAAATACGTATTAATGAATTATTGATTTTTTGATGAATTTTAAATTGGTAATTTATTCGAGCTTTTAAATATATTAATAAATTAAGGGAAGGTGAGAAAAAAAAGAGAAGAAAAACAAAAAAAGGAAATATTAAATTATTTTAGGCAATTGTCCAAAATATGCGCAAACAATGTCGATGTCATGGTGTAAGTGGTTCATGCGAATTTAAAACTTGCTGGTTACAAATGCCAAGGTTTGCTGAAATTGGTGAAATGCTGAAACAACGCTATAATCATTTTGCTGTTCAGGTAATATTTTTTCATTTTGTGCTTGGAATATTCCGATTTGTTAGTTATCTGTAAATAGTATCTCTCAAAATGAACTTCCAAAATTTACAATTATTTTCCGTTAGCTAATTAGATCATGATAATCTAATCTAATTAAATTGATTAGATTATCATCTATTAGATTATCAGATCCGAAATATCAATGATTGGAAATGAAAAAGTAATGGAATTATTAATTTTTAACAGCAATAACAAAAAAAAAAGGTTAACGATATGACTTTTAAGGTGGAATTTTAAAAGTTCATCAAGAAAAAAAAAAGTGATATAAAAAACAAAAGCTGAAATACAGAGATGAAAAATGATAACTTAAGAGATTGTCTGGAATAATAAACAATTAGCGATAAGGCATAGACGGGAAATTACAATATTAGCGAGGAATACTGATAAATAAATCGTTCATCTGATAAAGATGATAAATATTGATTACGATTTGCAAAATGAGAAAATTCTATGGATAATACACAAGTGACAATTGTGGTAATGTTATCACTTCAGCAAAAATAAATGGAAATTATCAATCGAAAGTTTTATTTTAAATTTTCAAAAGTGTTTAAGCATTAAAAGTGATATTAATTGATAATCGAGGATAATATTTAATTATTTGTGATTTTAAATTCAAATAGTAACAAATTTCGGATGGTCAAAAAAAAGAAAAGTGGAGTGTGAAATATATTTTATTCAGAAAGTTATACATTTTTCATAAATTTTTCATTATTCAGGAAAAGAGGGAAGTTGAATATTTATAGTTAAAATTGATAATAAATATTAAATAATATAATTAAAGGTAGCAAAAAGGGCTAAAAAACGTTTACGAAGGAAAGAACGTTCGGAAAGAAAAAAACCATTACGTGGAAACGAAATTGCTTACATTAACAAATCACCAAATTATTGTGAGCGGAATGATGCCGAAGGTAAATTCTTCTAAGTTAATTTTTGAAAAAAATTTTTTAATTTTAAACATTGTTATAAGAAAAAAAAAGGGATATTTCAGATTAATAATAATATATTTACTTGCAAAAATTTTTATAATTTTGAAATATTAGCATAAATGATATTTTGAGTAATATTTTGAAACAAAAAGTAATCACAATTTGAAATTTATTGACAAAAAAAAAAAATTGAACTTTAAATTGTTTTTTTTCAAATAATGTTTCAAACCTTTTTTTTCTTTTTTTTTTTGTTACCTAACAAATGATAAGTTTAATTAAATACTAGTAATAGTAAAAGTTTAATTAAATACTAGTATCAAAATGATTAGTGTGCTTAACTTATTAAATAGCAAAGTAAAATTTGATATTTAATGAATTATAATCAATAAGTTTTTTAATTATAATTAATAGGTTTACTTTTTTTTTTCTTAATGTAATTTATCTTAGCATAAAAATTATTTGAATAGCAGAATTTTTCCAGGTATTCTTGGTACACATGGCCGAGAATGTAATCAATCATCACTTAATTCGGATAGCTGTGATCTATTATGCTGTGGTCGTGGCTACAATACGAAAGAAGAAATACGTACGGTGCAATGTCATTGCAAGTTTGTTTGGTGCTGCTCCGTGAAATGCAAGACATGCACGGAGAAAGTTCTTGTTCATACATGCAAATAGAAATAATTACATTTTTTTTTTCTCGCTCTATTTATGTGCTAATTTTTATTCAAAAGACTTTTAACTTTTCAAAAAAAACAAAAAAAAATTTATTTCAAAAATATTTATTGTGAAATTTTTTTTGTATACTTTACCAAAATTTAAATTCAATGAGAAACTAAACAATCCATCATTTCGTTCAGTTATATTTGTTAATATTGATGCACGTATATAATATGCATGCATGCATGCATAAATGCATGACGTTATGTAAAATTAAAATAATCTCGTAAATAGGATTTCAAAGATAATTTGAGCGCTTAAAATTATTTTGCATAATTCATCAAATTGCTTATCTTATGAATATTTTTGGCCATTATTAAACTTTTTTAGCTTTCAATGACAAAAGCTTTTTTTCTTGTAAAAGCTTACTTAAATAACTTTGTGAAAGTGTATCTATCATAAATTTAAAAAAAAAACAAAAAAAAAGAATATGACAAATTGATATGATATTGCTATATCTGATAATGTAAGAAATAAATATTCCATCAATGCATAATGATAACATTTTGTTTTTCTTTAATACCATTAAATTGTTTTTTTTTCAATTTTTATTATTTGTTTCAAAATGATAACGTATAAATGTATTATGGAGAAAAGTGATTGATAATTAATTAAACGATTCTTTCGCATAATCCAAAAAGTCATCAATGAGTGCTACAAATATTTTTCAATTTATATAATATTTAACGTATCTGCTTCCTTCTTTTTTCAACTTCTTTTTCTTTTCTTCCCTTTTTATCTTTATTTTTCTTTTTTTGATAATATTCGAAATTCTCATTTCTATTAATATAATTTGAGCATTGCTTTTTCGTTTGTACTTTTTTCAAATTTATCTAACTAAATTTTAGCATGAATTGACCATTCTATTGGTCATTTCATAGAATGTGCTGTTGTTTACTTTGTTACAGTAAAACGAAACATAGTAAAAAGTGAAAATAGTTGTTTAATTTGAGAAAAAAAAAGACAGAAAAGATTTTTCTATGACATATTTAGGTTGAAATATAAATGAATAAATTGAAATTCAATTGAAACAATCAAATATCTTAAGAAAATCCAAAAAAAAAGTAACTGATCGTTTGTTTTTTTTCTTTTAATACTACTCTTATTATTGCCAAAAATAATGTCAAATGTTGACTGCCTAGAGGATAAAGTTGGATATTTTTGAAAAATCGATGTTTATGACATATTTTATTTGAACTATAATTTTTTTATTCGTTCTCGAAATTTCTTTATGCGAGTGAAGCTTCATGTGAATTATAAAAGGGAAAAAATATGTGTGCAAAAAAAAAAGGATATAAAATTGAAATGATGCAAAAATGATTTAAAAAAAGATGGGATAATTCTACTTGATATATATTTGAAACGAATAGTATTTGATATTTTAAAATGATTATAAAGAATACTCAACAAATTTTCCGTTCCGTCTTTTCTTTTTGTAAAAATTAAATCCTTTGAAAATTAACTTTAATTTTGTATAAAAAAAAAAATTAAACAGTTATTCGTTTCATTGCTATATTTACTTTTTTTTTTCTTGATGTTTCGAAAAAGACAGTAATAATATTCAATTTCCATTAATAAAAACATTTGGCTTACACTTGGAAATATTAAAAGCAACTTATCATCACATTAAATGTAACTTATCATTATGTTTATACGCAATTTCATACACCATTATTCTATCATTAATCACATCTTTCTTATGTTACGCTTAATCACTTATCATTCATGCTTACCATATTGTATACACAAAAAAAACCGAAAGAAAGATAACAAATATTATTTGCTACTTAGCATACTACTTTACCATCAAACATTCATTTCAGTCCAGCATACTATATACCGTACGTGTAAATCATTGATACACCATACAGAAACATACCGTACATGTGGGCAAGAAACGTACCGTATCAGAAGCATACGGTAACAAGTGGATCAGAAACACACCGTACGCGTGGATCAGAAATATGCCGTATATATGCATCAGAAACATACCGTACATGTAGGCCAGAAACATACAGTATGTATGGATCAGATAACAAAACACATTATCGATGCTTGTCAAAAACTTGCTCCACACTTAAAATAGCCAACATTTTTGAATGTACATAAGTAATATTTTGATAATAAACATAAACAAACGATTAATGATTAGTTGTGGATGTGATACAGTTACATCAATCTGATACAGTAATTTCATAGAAAGGTAATATTTAATCGTAATTGAAAATTTCATCATTTCATGCATATTTATTTCATTCAATAACTTCAAACATAATTAAAAAAAAGAAAAAACAAATGGATATTTGATAAAAATGACATAAATTTTATTACTACATATTGCGGTTAATAAATTTTTATTCCTATTAAATGACAATTGTAATTTTTTTTCAGATTAAATCATAAAAAATGAAGTCGCCTTTTTTTTTCTTTTGTTTATATAAAATTTTATTAGAAAATAGTCTGTCAAAAATTTTTGTTTTATCATTTACATACCAATATTTTTTATTTGAAAACTTTATCAACAATAACAACAACAAGATTAAATTTCGTTATTCTACAAAAAAGCCATTTGTATCTGCAACTCGTTTATCGAGAGTTATCTTAGCGGTTTTAGTATGCCATACCAGGATTTCACGTTCTTTCTATAACGAAAAAAAAAAAAAAATGCAGGATTTTCCATGTTATACAGAAATTCATATTAGTTATACTTGAAATTTTAGATTTAAATTGAATCTATTTGATATTTTTCAAATGCGTTTTTTTTTTCTTCCGTTAATTCTTCATTCAATAATTTGTGAATTATTTTAAATTTATGAAATTTTCAAGATATTATAAAGAATATTTAAAGAGTTTGTATGGAATATTTAATGGATTACGATGAGAGGAAAACGATAGAAGCATTTTTAAGCTGCAAAAAAAAAAAAGGAAGAGAAAAAGTATTGGATTAGCCATAATTCATATTTACCTATCCGATTTCAACTCATTTAACTCGATTAAATTCAGTATTTTTTACTCATCTTCTAAACGATAAAGGATAATAAAGTTGGATCACAGTTATCATATCAAAGGATCATTGCATCACCGTTATCATAATTTTTGTGATCAAATAAATATGCAGTCAAAGCCAAAATGTTTATCATATGATGGATGCTCGCAAAAAAAAAAAAAAAGGATATATAAACTGTTTAATTTTAATTTCTGTTTGAATAAATAATTTTAATAAACTAAATCGAGTCATTTTTCTCTTTTTTAAATTTCAAATATACATTATAAATAGCGTATTGCTATGGGACGAAAAAGTTATGCATGTATTTTAACAAAATATTATTGAATTAGCAATGCAAGTTTAAATTGATAGTTAATGAATGAATCATTAATAGATAGTACTTCGAATGAATCGTTACCTTATCGAAGCCAAATGGCTCGAGATCGAGAGTTTGAAGGCCGAGATCTTCAAGAAAACACGTTTCTGGTGCACCGAGACCGCGACTACATGATTTACCAAACACTGCCGTTGAACTGAAAGAATAAATTTTTGTCCAAACAAAACAAAACAAAAGAAGAAACAAATAATCGTAAATTACAAAATTTCAATAATTTATACATTATTTTAATTGGTATAACAATCGTTAATGAAGTAAAACAAGAACAGAAAAAAATTTTCATTTTCAATCAATAAAGAAGAAAAAATTGCAACTTACTTAAGAATAACATTTAAGGCTACAGCAAAACCAGCCATATCAGTAGCAAATTTCCTTTTCTTATGCCATATTACATTCCATCCTACAACTGTTCCATTAACAACCGCGGGTGATTCCACCAATGCACCTCCGGCAAAACCTGACTACTTCTCGTAAATTTAATTGAATTATCAATTTAAGAGTTTCAAAAATTAACTTTGTCACTTTCAATTTTATATCATTGATTAAATTTCAGAATCCTATTTTGAAATGTTGTTAGTTTTGTTGACAAATTCATTTCGTTTTTTTTTTTTTTTTTTTTTTTTAGTATGCTACT